AAAAAAAAAAAAAGAAGTAGTAAATATTGTAAAATTAAATACATAGCCTTTCTCCTCCCTTCCACTCCCATCAACACTGAATTACATATCATATAACAGGTGTCCTCAAACTACAGCCCGCGGGCCACATGCAGCCCACCTAGGACATTTATCCGGCCTGCTGGGTGTTTTTGCCACCACTGCCTGTCCTGCTTAGCAGCCAACTTGTCCCAGGGCCCACAGTCTGGCCCTCCAATGGTCTGAGGGACAGTGAACTGGTCCCATCATATACTATCATAGCGTGTCATCTCATAGTATATATGTTGAGTATACATATTCAGATACCAGCCTTATCATATTGTAGTTGTATCTATATATAGTGCTTCATTTAAGATAGCAAGTTCAAAATAAACCATTCAAGTTGAAATAACAATGGGGGGGAACTATTAATTACGTAATTGATATATTTCATCTAAGGATCACCAATTTCTTTTAATGAAATAGTTCTTACTGAATCTAAACTATGTCCTAAAGCCAAGGAGATCTACCACCTGCCCTACTTTAGATTATGTAGCAATCTGAGTAAAAACATTTCGGACTCCAGTTGTGTGAGGTTCAGGAACTGGGATGAATAAATAACTTCCATACCTATAGTTGCATTCAACTTCTGGATTCTGAGATGATTAAATCCTATTTTTAAAATAGCCCTTGCTTCCTTAGTGAGGTGATCTTACAATGTGTTTTTTAAGTCTCCTCTGATATCTTTCTAAAAGATTAATTTCATTTACATTAATATTTTAAATAAATCTGGTTTGTTACAGATTTGTTAGGCTAACATTATAGTAGCCCTAATCTATGTCTAAAAATAAAAAACTAAATCTGATACATACCCGCCTTGTTATAATTTCCATCTAAACACATTTTTCCCTTTAAAATAATTAAAAATAGTTTTAAAAATAGGATTTTATTTTGCTTGAGTTATCTAGCTTATTTCCTCTTCCCCCTTAGCAATGTACAGATGAGCTTTTGGCTAAGCCTGTGGCACTTAACACTATTTGTTCTAAACAACACAGAATAACCTCTTGGGGCTGTTATCATGCCACTGGGTGAAATGCTTATGAGATCAAATAATAACTTTGTAACTTAATTTATAATATGACGAACAATAGCTCTTAGCTGGAAACTATTTATAATAATTAACATGTAACACAACTATAAGATAATCAGTGACATTTCCCAGCTCTTGACTGGACACCTTAAAGGAGATAAGTAAAAATAAATATCCCAGTTACCTGTCTTGTCATCTGCCAGACACAGTCAATAAACTGAAGGAAAACAGGTGATCTGTCTGCATCTGCATGGTTCTTATCTCCATGGCCAACTCTCTGAGCAAAGAAAGTGAAATAGGAGCTTTGCATAATTTTTCATTTTTTAATGGAGATAATATTTTCAATAAAAATAGTCCGCATTCTACAAATTTTCAGAAAATCTTTCTAGAGAGCATTGCAAAGGAAGTAGAAATCACCCATAACCCTAACAAGTAAAAGCCTCTATTTACATTGTGATGTACAAACTGCTCCATGAGATGAGATGAGATGAGATGAGATGAGGTGAGGTGCTTGGATAGGGATCACCAATTTGTTTACTAAACGAAACCCAGATCCTAAAAGGTTGATAATGGAAGACAGGAGCAGTGAGACCTCAGCCCAGATTCACCTTGGAGATTTATTTTCACTTTGACAAAAAACAGTTACTTATACACTCACTTTAGAAAGCATATTTCTCAATATCTTGGCCAGTGGGTAAAGGACCCCAGCCCATTTAGCTCTAAATTTGTCTTCCTTTGGAAGAATACCATTAGCACAAGTCTTACAAAACCTTTCAATACTGCCTGACATTCACCCTCACAGCATCCAGTCACCCAACCAGTTTTACAGTTTTTTCTTTTGAGGGAGGACCTTTGACCTAGAAGACTAAAACACAACCCTACTCCTTACCCCAAAGCAGGGACTGTTGAAAGTGTGGTTCTAAGACTGTGAGGCTAAAACTATTTTAATAATCCTAAGACATGGCTCGGAACCTGTAGCTCAGTAAGGCACCGGCCACATACACTGAGGCTAGTGGGTCTGAGCCCAGCCCAGGCCTGCTAAACAACGACAATTGCAACCAAAAAATAGCCAGGTGTTGTAGCAGGCGCCTATAGTCCCAGCTACTTGGGAGGCTGAGGCAAGAGAATTGCTTAAGCCCAAGTTTGAGGTTGCCGTGAGCTGTGACAGCTGAGCTTGAGGTTGCCGTGAGCTGTGACAGCTGAGCTTGAGGTTGCCGTGAGCTGCGACAGCTGACCTTGAGGTTGCTGTGAGCTGCGACAGCTGACCTTGAGGTTGCCGTGAGCTGCGACAGCTGAGTTTGAGGTTGCCGTGAGCTGCGACAGCTGAGTTTGAGGTTGCCGTGAGCTGTGACAGCTGACCTTGAGGTTGCCGTGAGCTGCGACAGCTGAGCTTGAGGTTGCCGTGAGCTGCGACAGCTGAGCTTGAGGTTGCCGTGAGCTGTGACAGCTGAGTTTGAGGTTGCTGTGAGCTGTGACGGCTGACCTTAAGGTTGCTGTGAGCTGTGACGGCTGACCTTAAGGTTGCTGTGAGCTGTGACAGCTGAGCTTGAGGGTGCTGAGAGCTGTGACAGCTGAGCTTGAGGTTGCTGAGAGCTGTGACAGCTGAGCTTGAGGGTGCTGTGAGCTGCGACAGGTGAGGTTGAGGTTGCTGTGAGCTGCGACAGCTGAGTTTGAGGTTGCTGTGAGCTGCGACAGCTGAGT